TTGTGGGTTAAATAAATACAAAACGAAATTAAAATGAACACGTCTTCAGTATAAGACCTGATACGAGAGACGGAGGAAGACCACTGAGCCGGGCAAGCGTAGAGAAGCTGGCGTTGATAAATCACTGAGCGAACCGACTAAAAAGCACGAGGACATTAGTTAATGGCATCGCACGCCTGATGGATGGGACAGCTGTTCCGTACGGAGAGTGAAATTAGCGAGAAACAGAGGCAAAGTGTGAGTACAGTATAATTTCTTTTGGCACATCTGCGTTCATAAAATAGCAATCATTTCATCAACCACAAACCTGCAAAAACAGTTTTATAGAACTGCCTATGAACTTGGTATCTTTCGGAAATAAATTCGAAAACTAAAGACAAATTTCCCGGCGTCAAGAAATTTGCTCATCGATTTTTCGGAAATTCCGATCAATTCGTTTCAGTGAAACTTCACAGCGAAATTTACATTCTGAGAATATCAGACTATATACTAATTTATTTCACTTAAATTCAATCCGAAGAATCAAATCTGACTAAATCTTTTCCAGGATTAGTGTTTTCTAGGTTTCTTCGCCGTGCAGTCTGTTGGGTGACCACCGTGTCACAGGGGCCTTCTGCCTTCATCATCACGGTGTCACAAAGGCAGAAAATATATTTCAAACGTCAGTAAATTAGTTTAAATGACTTGGACGGTGCTGCTATCTGTATTTTGTATTTTTCGTACCTGCAGATTCTGTTTTGTCATTTTTACGTCAAAATCTTTGAGATTATATATCCCACAAATTTTAGATACGGAAAAGTCGTGTGTGTGTTCCCATGTCTGCGTGTTTTAGAGAGTGAACGCTTACCTGGAAGCCTCACCTACTGACCCACAGGCAAACGCCAGGCAGGAGGAAAGAGGGCAGAAAGTACGCCCAGCGCGTAGACTCAGACGACGCTTGGCGCTGTATCGCGGCCGTGTTGTCTCCTAGACACAAAGCAAACATTTCAGACAAAGGAGTAGATTTATCGGTCAGCTTCCTTTGTGTCGTTTATCGGTCACCGGAAAACAGGAAACTATCCTCGTATCGCGGAGCGCTTCACTCCAGTTCAACGAGACTGTCCACAACTCTGACGGACAGACGGACTATGAGCTAGTCGGAACTTCGATAATGCCTAACAAGAATTCAGTTACTACCACGCATGTGTCATCGTTAAAGTTACTATCAAATAATAAAACGTTCCGTCTACCACGCGGTACAAGAAGATAAGACACCAGAACTCAGGATTTCAGGAAGGCGATGAGTTCTTTCGAAATGTCATATACAACCTACGAGGCTAAACGGTGACACAGCCCAGAATATCTGCATTT